TGACCAATTTCTCCAAAGGTGATTAAAGGAGAATTGATGAAAGATTTCCAAGGTCTTCAGCCAAGGTATTGCCCTATTTAACACACAGTCTTTCAATTCCTGACTGCTCCTTTCCTTTTCTTGAAAAATTCTGAAATTCCTTTCTTCCCAAAGAGTCCAAATCAAGGCAGCACGAGCACATCTCCACATGATTCTCCCTATTGTTGTAGGCCAATAAAAGGTAGAATGGTTGAAGAGCATGTGAGCTTCTGCTAGTAGACTCCAACTACTCCCAAACAACGAAAGTAGTCAAGCCCAAAGGTCTGCAGAAAAGGGACAAGATACTAATAGGTGGTAACAATCCTCACCGTGAGCTCTACAGAGGATACACCAAATAGGAGATATACAGAGGAAAGGTCTTCTCTTTTGTAGGTTATCTAGAGTGTTTACTTTCCCATGGAATACTTCCCAACAAAAYGCCATAATTTTTTKGGGAACTGGCTTGCACCAAATTTCTTTTGACGGAAAGGGTTGGTGAGTAGAAAGTTGAGAGATGGACTTGAAGAAAGAAGCACAAGTGAAGGTTCCTAATGTTACAACTTCTTTCATCACTCCAATTCCAATATGTCAATTATATTTCCAGCTTCATTATCAATAATGAGGCATTATATTAAAATATTATAACAAATAAAAAGATGTACACAAGTAGTATATGAACAATGGAACAATAAAGAAATCTAGATGTCAAAATCTATTTGCTTTTTTATAAGAAAAGATGACATATTTCAATAAAAATAAAGGAAAGATGTACATGAGAAGATGTACAAGGGCCTTGGCAGCAAAAAAAAAAAACAAAAGTCAAAAGCCCACTAATTAATTGGCATAGTATTTGCACTGTATAAACTGTCCCTACCCAACCCAGATTTAGCTAAGAAGTCAGCTGCTAGATTCATTTTTTCTTGAGATCCATTTGAAGGTGATTCCAAATTGGTTGTTGGATGGCTAAAAGAACCAGAGACGGAAGCCTGGCCGTACAGGGGGACTTTGAGAAGATTTAAGTGGCTGACTTCAAATATTTCAGTCACAATTCAATGGGAAAGAAGATCGGCAAATGGGCTGGCAGACCTCCTAGCTAAACAAGGAGTACACAGGAATCAGCTCTTTTGGACTCAATTGTAAGCTTTATGATGTAGTTTGGAGGCTGCACCTCACGCCTCTTAGTGGGGAATTGTATGATGTATACTTGGTTCTTTAATTAATAAAATTACCATTATCATTATCCATCAAAAAAATCTCTTGAATTTCTAGCAAAAAGCAGAGATAAAAGCAAAAACACGTAAAATAAATCTAGTGGATGAAAGCTAGGTCTTGAGTTGGTAGCATGGAGCTACTAATTTTTTTCTTCAGTAATTGAGACTTGCAGATGCACACACAAGGAAAAGATACTCCCCTATGTTAGGAATATTTGGAAAAGTACCAACTTTTAAAACCATAAGTGAAACTGACCTCAGAATAAAGAATACAAGATGCAACCAACACCCTCTGCCTCTTAGACTCTGAAATTGGCATGTTCAAAATAGATGAAAGCACACTGTACAACATAAACCCAAAATCAATTTCATCTGCACATAATGAAAAATGGAACTAACAGTCACAGAAAAAAATGAAGAGCCCCTACAAAACTGCTGAAAACATGTACTGGTATGCATTCCTAGGATGAATGTCATATGGCTTGTAACCATTCCATTAAGAGGGAAAAGTCAATAATCTCAAGAATTTAATCACCAAAAAAGTCACTAAGAAAAATAGCCAATGCAAGGCAAAAATAGCATGGAGCAAGAATTGCTTAATGTAGCTACTGCACCAAGGCTTGTAGCTTCTTTTCTTTTCCTTTTTTTTCAATAGTTAAAACCAAGTGATAATAGGATATGGATTCCATCACAAATATAAATTAATGAATTTCCAATCTAAAGAGCTTTATTAGCAAAAGAATAAACAAATAAAATTCCAAGAGCTATGCAATATATAGCAAAGCCACAACATGAGCCAGCTTGGCAACCACAAAGCAAAACAAGGGTAGTTCAACAAAAATACTGAACCAAGTCTGCCAAAAGAAACAACAATTGTTTTGGGGAGGCCAAAAGAAAAGGGATTTTTAGGGTGCTCAACGCAATATCAGAGAACTCAAACAAGGATTAGCTGATGCAAACAGAGATTTTTGGAGGTATATTTTCCAGGAGCCAAATAACCTGCTATTGAAACCACAAGAGAGGGTGAAGTGGTATGACAGGATGATGCCATGCAAGCTCCAACTGAGAGTTACAAATTGTAAGGTTGTGTGTGGTCATGATGCAGATGGTTTTTATCAATCTTAGACCAAATTTTAGAAGAATGCTAAGAGAAAAATGGAGAGGACCATGTTCATGTTAACAGTCCAACTTGTGGACAGAAATCTCAGACTTAATTTCTTCTAATCCAACCATTTGATTAGCACGAAATTTGGATATATCCTCACAAATTTGGATCAACAGGCACGATCCAGAATCATCTGATCATATTTTGTTTGAAGGGCTACCTCTTTTTATCCTCTCAACTAAATTCGGCAAGAAACCATTTTGAATCTTTTCAAACCCTTCAGCTTCCAAGGAAGTCAATTTCTACAAGTGAAGAAATAAACCAGGAAAATTTTCCGAGCATTTTAATTATAGTAATAGTGCCAAAGTTAGGAATCATCTCTTACACCCAGCCAGCCTATAAAATACATACATATTGACATACTGAATCTATAAAATATAACTAAATACTAAAGATGATATAAATTATATAAACTGTAAATACAAGATCTATCCAGTGAAAAATATTAACTAAATATTTGTGGCCTATCCAACAGGGTTGCATGTCCAATTGATGCAGAACCAGAAAGAGCCCCTGCATTTCAGGCCTAGTGGCCAAGTGTGGGCCACCAGCTGCACGCCCTTTCCCTATGCTAAGTTTAGCATGACACAGCAAACTGCCATCCCCTCAACCTGCCTACTTAGGTTATAACTTTATTTGTAATAAATAAAAAAGAAAATATTATTAATAAAAGAAAAGAGTACATCAGCAAGGATGATGATGAGTCACCACAAATTTATTGTCAATTTAAACTGTTATGAAACACATATAAACATGGCAGCCTTAAAGTAATAAGGTCTGTTCAAGCATATAACCATCACAAGTGCTCCAATAGTACAGTAACATAGTTGTGGTTGCTTTACAATGCTTTTAAGGTTACTGTACCTTGTACAATCAAAGTAGCACAGAGAGAGAGAGAGAGGGAGAAAATAGAATGGGCAATTAACTAGAAAGGGTTTGCAAGAAGTGAAAATCATCAGAATTGTGTTTCAGCATTGATGAGTTGTTATTCTGCACCAAGTTCACTTTAATCATAATTCAGGGATGAACCCCCACCCCCCTCTAAGACAGTTCTCTGGGCACTAAAAGTTAGACGATAGGGAGCTCAAATCCTCTAGACCATTGACCAAAGTAACTACTATGGTCCTATTAATACCATGTAAAGAAGGCATATATATACACACACACATATATGGGGTATTTTATCAACACAATCGTCCTGCAAGGGAACTTTAGTAAACATATCATACACAAAGAGATTACTCTGTAATTTCACGTAACTTCCTACTTACATGATATGACCAGAATAGTTACTATAAGTAATGGTCTAAGACAGTCAGGACTTGTCCATGTGTAGTTTATTTACTGAATTGCTTGCCCTTCTTCAAGGACTCCAAATGGACAAGTTATCCAACTACTCCAACTTGATGGTCGAAGTGACTGCCAGGTTGTATTATCCTGGTTTTATTCCTTAACACAAGTCACTTGGACACCAAGACATCTTGTAAGAGAGGCAAAGATTTTAGCATCTGAATTGAAATGCTCTTTTTAATGTTACCTAGATCCACAAATGATCAGGAGGATTTCTTAGCAAGAGAGGTTATTCTAATAATGGTGTTAGCTTGGGAGTCCCAGGCCCAGGTTCTACATTGCAAGAATTATGACTGATGATAAATGCTTCAGTCCCTACTTTTCTGCTTCTATGGCCAGCTTTCAGTTGCTAATTTTGTATCTGTTCTTCATGATCCTTCTCAAGGACATGAAGCTCACTCCTTTTCATGATTTAATATAAATAATCATGCAGAGTTATTGATCAAAACAAAGTAATGATTTGAAGAATTTAATGTATTAGGCCCTATAGCCTAGGATCAAAGATGTGCTCCTTAGATTGAAGGTAAGTTTAAATGAAAAGATGAAACCCACTCAATATATCTCTAGTAAGCTTCAAATGATTACCTCCACAATAGTGCTGACCGTGGCTTCCTTGTAGACAAACGAGTATTGCTATCTAATGGCATTGTATGGCTTGCTTGCCAACGTAATCCTTCTGATATGCCATCCTTAATTCTTGTATTCATAAACATACCATCTTCTCCATTGTCTTCCTCCCTCATTGAGACAAGTACCATTCGAAGCATGCATAAGAATGGCTGATCACTGTCCAATAACTGGTAAAGCGCTGTCATTCCTCCCATTCCAGTACCAGATCCTCCTCCAATTCCAAGACCACCACCAAGTCCAGATTCATCCAATAATAATGCTTGGAGCATGGTAATTGACTTCTTAATCAAAGGAAGTTCAACCCAATTTCCATTTACATCCTTTTCCAAGGCAGATTTCCAACATTCCCATCCACTGCCACCACCACCAAAGATGGTGGTTTTTGAGCAAAGGCCAAGCCCATACCACAACTGGCTCCTATACTTCCAACCTTCAGACAAATCTAGAGCACAGCTCCCATATGACACAAAGGCATACCTAACAGATTCATAAGGTTCTGCTGCTGCTGCTGCAGCAAGACGTTCCATCATTGCTGCAGAAATTTGTCCATTTGCATCAGCCATGGAAGCAAGAACCTGATTGTAAGCAAAAACATGGTAAGGCAATAAAAACTGTGTCAATATCAAACTAAATAATGATGAAAATCAAGTAAACAAGATATATCATGATGAAGAAATTTCACTGAAAAAATATCCATTTTCTCAGATAAAGGCAGTGCTACTTGAGATAGGAATAGCTATAACCTAATGCAGGTTTTTTGAGAAAATAATGAAGAGCATACTAGCTTTGTTTCAGGCCCTGAAGGTGTGGGAGACTCTACAAAGGTTGAACTAATGGCTGTTTTTTGTGGGCTACAAAAAGCAAAAGAGTTGAATTTGGAAAGAGTAATTGTTGAAGGTGACACTAAAGTGGTGATAGGGTGGCTAAGAGATGAGAAAACAGCAGTATTGAGCTACAAAGATGTGCTAAAGCAAATTAAAGGGGGAACAAGGAATATGGAGAGCAGATCCCAATGGGTACCCAGGTCAGCAAATGGTTTGTCTGACACTTTGGCCAAGCAAGGGGCAAATAGGGGGCAGTTGTTCTGGACTCAACTTTTTTTTCTTTCTTATTGGATGAGGTAAGTTTTAACCCCCCCCCCCCCCGGTGGGGATCTGACTTTGTACATACTTTCCTGATGCCAGTGTCATCTATCAAAAAATGAAGAGAATTTAAAAACAAAAAGAAAAAAATGATGTGATCGAAGTGTCTTAGCTTTGGAGATTTTTTGGGGGTGTCCTTTAAAGGAATGGAGGAGGAAACGAAAACTCTCCTGATGGCGATTGAAAATAGATGGTTGGTAAAGACGGAAAAAGAACAGAAGGAAATCCAAAGAGTTACTTACGCTTCCTAGGGGCTTAAATGAAAATGCGGGGAGCGCAAGCAGAGCAGAAAAGCTTCAAGAAAGTAATTCCAGATGGAGACTCTCAAAATAATTTTGTGAAACATTCGTGGCCTTGGATCTGGTAGAAGAAGAGTAGTTGCAGGACGTTTCTTGAGGGAAAAGAAGGCAGATATAGTAATTCTGCAGGAACCTAAGCTCCAGAATTTGAAGTATGGGGTGGTTTGAAGTGTGTGGGGTCCTGAGCCTTGTGATTGGTTGGTAGTGCCAGAAGATAATACAGCAGGGAGAATTGCACTAATTTGGAACAGCAGCTTGTTTAAGCCAGTGGATAAGGAGTAGGTTTGTTCATTTATCAAGAAAAAGGAGGTAGGTTTGTTCTCAGTCTCAGTTAAGCTCCTCTGGTTGCAGTACAATTTGACAACTGTGGTTTCAGGGGTTTACCAGCTTGTTGACTCCTCTGTAAAATACGATTTTCAGGAGGAATTGAATACAGTAAGAAGGAAATGGGATGACCCTTGGGCTATTGGTGGAGATTTCAATTCAATCCTAAGTCAAGAAGATAAGAAGAGGTGCAGGTGTACAAATAGGGCCATGAGATAATTGGTGGATTTCATCCAGAGGTGGGAACTGCTCGATTTGCCATTAAGTGGAGCAAAGTACACTGGGTGTATAGCTAAAATTGTTCGACCTAGTGTTTTATCAGACATCAGGATAATCTGGCATCCATGATACACCCCTCCCCCACATGAACCAAAATTATGCAATGTGCACTCAATAAGCAAAACTGAACTGAGATTGTCTGATGCCTTTGGTCAGAATCATGCTTTATGCATTCAATAAGTAACATCTTACTATGAACCAACATACCAAAATTTCAACCAAAATGAAACAATGCCCAATGAATATTGTTCACATGAACCTGAAGCAGATATACATAATGTGCTCAGGATGTGATGATAATAAGAGACAGAAAGAACACATGCCACATTACAGTAGAGCAAACAATCGAAGCATAATACTAACTAAATAACAATGTGTCTAAACGGTCAAATTCCACAAATAGTAAGCTAATCCCTTAAAAACTTGTACATACATCAAGAGAAAGGCCTGCAGAATCACTTGATAATGATCTCTGAGTACTAAGAGCTTCTGAAGATTCACCAGGAGTTCTAGATAATGAATTTGAATGGCTAATAATGGGTGAAGAAGATGATGTGGAGGAGCCAGGTCCATCCACCAAGTGTGAAACAATAAATAATTGGCTTTGTAACCGCAAATGATCTTCAACTAGCATTAAAATCACTATCGCATTCTCTGCTAAAGCAACGGAAAGCTGAGTAGCATTCTCTGCTTCTGCCTTGGCATCTTTAGGTGACAAACCCTCAGCTGCAACACCAGCAGCTGCAGCTGCAATAACTTGAGTCTGCAGCAAAAGAAAAACTGGATGTAGACATCATTGTAGATATTTTCACTTATCATGTAAAGTTGCTCATAGACATTAAATTGTGTGAATTTTTTGAATCATATATAGTAAATTCCTCCTCATAAACTAATAAAACAAGAGATGTAAGTGACAAGGGTCATCAAGAAAGAACTTATTGTATTCACATGCCACAACCCAGCAACCCATAGTACAGATTAACCTATACTGCGTCCTTCTAAAGCTTGAGCCGGCAACTCAAACCAACATCATAATTAAAAGGAAGGGATGCATTAAATTGATAAAATTGTTTACTTCTCCCTAACATTTGTATGTGATCATATCCCTTTGAGTCCTTTAAAGAAGCCAAAAGCTGCACAACTATGAAACCTGAACACATGGCTCATGTGTCATGTACAACTTTCTATATCTAATATGATATTACAACTTACAACAAGCACACAATGACATTAGAAGGAGAAATAAGAATTCACACAAGTGTTAAGAGAAGCCGGTGTTGAGGAAAAAAATTCAAAAATTAAGTAGTTGCAGAAGTTAAAAAGAGTAATTAACATTAAAAGAAATTAAAAAAGGAATAGAAGGAGACTCCACAACTGGTGATCAAGTGGCTGAAGAATGAAGAGAATGCTCTATGGGTGTACAAAAATGAATTAAAGAAGTTAAAATGACTTGCAAGGGATATGGATGCGAAAGTTCAATGGGTGCAAAGAACAGCTAACAGCATGCCTGATTCCTTAGAAAAACAAGGGGTGGGAAAGGGAACAAATTTTTTGGGCTCAGTTGTAAATCTGTGAATAGTGGAGATAAGATATTTACTCTCCAATTCCAATTGTGCAGTTGCTATTGGCTTACTCTTAATTAAAGTTACAGTTGTTGATCAATAAATAAATAATGAATCTTTAATCATAAACTGCTACAAATAGAAACATACTAAACAAAGTTCGTCATACATCAAAACTAATAAAAAGACACGTACATTACAAAGTCTTAACTAAAAAGAAAAACCTACGTTTACTAAATTGCTTTTTTATCAGTGGAACAGTGAGAACAGAGACTACCTGCACCTGCAGCTCTCTGGCAGCAAAATCAAGCAATCCACCCAAGAGCCTTCTTTTGAATATAGGCAATGATTCTTCACGCCTTCAAACATAAAGACAATATACCAGACAAGGAAAATGATGAGCAAAGAATGATAGTTTTCTTAACAATAACAATGGAAAATACTCTGAAAACTTGAAAAAGAGAACCCCAATAAATCTACCACATAAAAACTACTTACGAACCAACATGGAAAACAACAACAACAAAAACAACACTAAGCTGACCAGACTGACATTGAGAAATGGCAGGTGCCAATCACAAGGGAGTCAAGACATATATAAATGGCTGAGAAAGGAGGATCTGCCTAAGAAGGAATAAAGACAGGCATCGTATTGTGAGGTAGTAGGTGTGGCAAGATGGTTCTTGGAAAGGAAGTATTATGTAAGTTGTGTTGGGAGCACTGAGAAGCATTGCATGGATATGAACAAGCATGGTTCGCAATTTTGACATTGGTGGACATTTCACCATGTAGAGATGGAGAAATTTCAGAGATATTTCGCTAAGATATTTGGAAAATTTAACAAATTAAGAAAGCATTCTAGAAACATGGAATTAGTTAATAAACCTTCAAGCATTAGAACTATAATTGCACATTTAAGGCTCAAAAATCCATAGCAAAGAACTACATAAATCAAATAAGAGAAAATTAAGACACTTTAATAGGTACCTTGATGTCCATTGCACCTTTAGAACCCAAATTCCTTACACAATTAGAGATGTATTGGGAGTTTTTTTTTTATCAATAACAACAGATTTCAATAAATAGGAATAAGCTTACAAAGTAGAGGAGCTAAAGCATCTTAACTCCCTAAGAAAGTGGGCAGGCATCCAAAAGGAAAAGAACAATTACAACCGAGCCCAGAAACCAGAATCCCTATTCACCCCTTGCCTAGCTAATCCATCAGCAAAGGAGTTTGCATTTCTCTTTATCCAAGTACACTGAACTTCCATGTTCTTGATCAGCCATTTGAATTTTCTCTTTTCATTGTTGTAGCTCCAAAGCTTAGAGGTGTCTTCTTTTAGACAGTTCACTGCAATCTCAGAATCTCCTTCTATAATCAGTTTCTTGACATTCAGGTCTTTAGCCCTTTGTACCCCCCTTCCAAAGCTGCTAACACCTCAGCCCTCAAAGAGTCTCCCACTCCAATTGGGCCAGAGAACATAGCTATTACATTCTCTTTCTCATCTCTTAGCACCCCCTCCCCCCCAATACCCAAAGGCCCTGGATTCCCCATGCTGCTGCCATCAAAATGACAAAATTTGGTTCAATAAAACCAAGAGGTGGAGGGTTCCAGGTGGGATTCGAGGTCTTCTTAACTGAGGCTGGACTTGCAATTTCCTTTTGTTTGCTTAACATATCATCCGCTGAATAATCTGTGAACAAGTCCATTGTTTTCAACCAATGTATTACCCTTATATGGATCACTTCTAGCATAGTTTCCAACCTTCTCTCCTTTTCTGAAAAAATCCTTGAGTTTCTTTCTTCCCATATAGTCCAGCAAACAGCAGCTCTCACACATCTCCACATGATCCTTGACCTTTTTGTTGGGCAGTTGAAAGAAGAGGAATTAAACAAACTTTGCACATTCATTGGGGAAATCCACCTGCACCCAAACAAAGAAGCAAACCATTCCCAAATATTTTTTTCCAAATCACAGGATATTAGTAAGTGGTAACCAAACTCACCAGCAGCTTTGCAAAGAACACACCAATGAAGAGATAAACAACTATTGGGTCTTTTTCTTTGAATCAAATCACCTGTGTTGACTCTTTCCAAGAAAGCTTCCTAATAGAAACTCCCAACCTTCGGAGGTAAAGGTTGACACCACACTTCTTTGGCGGGGAATGACAAGCCAATAGGAACTACCAGATGTATTAAGGCTTTAAAGGAGGCACAAGTAAAGGAGCCTGAAGGAGACAAAGTCCAAATCCTGCTATTTGTTTTTGTAGGCTCCAAGAAAACCCCATCAAGAATGGACATGAAAGTTAAGGTACTATCCAATTCTGTGTCCCTGAGAGCTCTTCTCAAACCCAAGTTCCATCCAAACCCAGAAGTTGAGTTAAAGTGACAACTAGTTCATTTTTGAAGGTGGAGATAGCAAAAGGGCCGGAAATTGGTCTTTCAAAGGAGAATCCCCAACCCAAACATGTTCCCAAAACTTAATGAGATTATCAAAATCAGCAATTTAAAGATGCAAAACTTTAAGAAGAATGGATTAGAATCCTTGTGAATTGGAATCAAATATTTTTTTGATAAATGAGTAAAATTTTATTTATCATAGGATTAAAACTGTTACAAGCATCCCAAGAGAGGTGTGAGGTGCGACCTCTCCCTTACGAGATATTACAATTCTCAAAACCCAGAAAAATACAATGCATCCCAATAAAGATGTTCCCTATAAGTCCCTTGTTTGGCTAGGAGATCTGCCATTGCATTTGCTGACCTGACCACCCATTGTGTTCTAGTTGTCATATTCCTCATTTGGAAGGTCCCTATAGCACCAAATGACAGAATCAGGATCCAGACCCCACCACCTTAGAATCTCTTCTATAATTAGACTATCCATACAGCAGCTAGCAACTCATCTCTAGTGAAGTGGAATTAAAATTCGGGCAATGGAAAATATCGTCATGAACAACATCATGTACATTGTAAGACTTTGGCCTGAAATCCTTCTAATAGTGGTAAGAACCCCATGGAAGCCATGGAGAAGATTAATTTACATGGATATGGAAAATGCCAAAGGTGGAATAGGCAAAATGGACATCCAAGGGGAAATGGTGGAGGAGATAGGAAGTAGAAGATCTCAATACTTGTCAAAAAAAGACAAAGGAGAAGATCTTAATAATATAAGGGAACATGATGAGATGCAGATCATGATCCAGATATTGTGAGATTGGCATCACATCACCTACACTACAAATAAGGGTGCATGGTGAGAAGCAGATCATTAACCCAGATGAGGTTGGCATCACATCACCTACAACAAACAATGAATGAGGAGAAATCATGGATGTTGCAGGGATGTGGTGACGTGGTAAAATGGCAACAATGTGAGAAAAGCAATGGAAAAAGAAGTGGCAAATGTCTTAGAGAAGATATAGCAAGATTTTCCATGGAATGGACCCAATGATGAGAAGAAACATCATTTAGTGGCATGGTCACAGGTGTGCAAAGACAGATAGAAGGGATGGGGCTTCAATCTTTTAGGTCAATGAATAGGAACTTACTTGACAAATGGAGTGATCCTATGTGAAAAAGGAACATTGTCGAGGAAGATCATTGGTAGCAAATATGGCTGTTCTTCCTTTGGGTAGGACCCTTGCCTAGGTCCCATATCTCATGGTGTAATGCATGTAAAGGAATTATTTATGGAAGGAGTTCCTCAAACATGTTGCATATAAACCTGGAGACGGGTCATATATTCTAGTTTGTCTATTTTTTTCCGAACCAGTTCCATATTGCAATAGAAAAAAAAAAAAAAAAAAACAATTCAAAGGTAAAGAATGCTATGAAGTAATGGCTGGCCGGCATGCACAGATGGCAAGGTTGGGGAGGAACATCAATGATTTATTTTGGTAATAAAATAAAATTTATCAAAAGAAAAAAAAAACTCCAGATCCCACCAATCAACCCAGAAAAACAACAAGAGTCCTAACTCTCCTCCCAATGAAAAAAATGTAAACAACACCCAAAACAAAACAAACTGACCCTAAGCAGGTAAACATCAAGACAGAAAGATTCAACATGACACCCAACCCCAATTACAGAAAAAAACAGGACCACGTAAAACCAAAACCTCTCAATGCTTCCTCTTCCTTCTAAATCTGCTGACTGCTAGAGAGGTCTCCCTAAGCCTTTTCACATCTCAACTCATAATATTTGCTTGAAAGACCCAATTGCTCACAAATCCATATAGGAGAGGAGGATGCAAGAATATGGAAACTTGAAGTAAATGGAATCTTATTGGGTGGTTGTTTTTACAACTCCCTGCTTGATTATCATCATGGTTCTTTTCCATAGAAGCTCAATTAAAATGTCTGTGTCTCTTCCAAAGTAACATTTTTCTTATGAACAACAATGCCTGACAGAATTCTTACCATTAATCACTTGATATCAAAAGGTCATGAGATGGAAAACCTATGCTGCTTATGCCAGTCAGAAATTGAAATGGTTCCACATTTACTGCATTGCAGTGCTGCATGAACTCTCCTAAATGGACATGTCCCTGTTGGACACTTATCAGATTCTGCCACCATACGGATTGTTGAGGAACAGTTATATAGAACATTTCCTTTTCTTTTCCTACCGTAAATAACATAAATGAAGAGTTAATGTACAATATGGTTAACAGCTTTCCTATAAAATGTTACTGAGGCTGCATTTGGTCAATGTACCAATGCAAATATGTTCAATGCAAAATGCAAACATGCCTGGGTTACAAAAATGCAAACTTGGTTTGGTTTTGCATTGATAAATTTTGTCTTGTGTTTTATTTTGGTGTGTACAAGCACAAATTCCAAGACTGGAATCTACCTTTTTTACATTAACCAACCATGAGTGCAAAAGATAGCTTCCATTCGCTCCCATTCTGAATGCAAATGTGTCATATAAAAAGTTTATTTTCATTTTCAGTACAAAAACATATTCTTATCAAATGCCTGAAAAACTGAATCAGAGTGCAAATTCGCTTCAGATCAGTATCTGCACTCTTACCAAAGACAACCTTAGTAATAAAGGCAATTTAGACCCCTTTTTGTATGTATATATTGTTAGAATTCAAAAATATGAATTCTATCCTTTTATATAGATATGTCTTCAAGTCCATGTTTTCCAGTCTTGTCATGTCAGACTCATGCACATGCATTGGATTCTAACTCCTGTATCCATGTCCATGCACCACTGCTTCACTGTAAGGTGACTTCCAGAGTTTGGTGTCATTTCATTGGGTAGTTATTTCAGAAGAGGCACTAGTCCATGGAACCTACTTCCTTTTGTTTTGTGCTGGTGTGTTTGGAGGAGGAAAAGTAGGATTTTATTTTTTATCAATAACTGCAAATTTCATTGGTCAAAGAAGAGAAAGAAAATACAAGTGCAATTGGAAATAAAACAGCTTATCTCCAAATCCAAAGAAAACTACAACTTAGCCCAAAACATTTGATTTCTCCCAACCCCTTGTTTTGCCAAAGCATTAGTCATGTGGTTAGCCATCCTTTGGACACAAATCTAATATTCACAACCCTAGATATCCATTTAATCATCTTTAACTCATTTTTGTACATCAAAAGGTCATTCCCTTTGTTTTGAAACCACCTAACCACCAATTGAGAATCTCCTTCTCTAATCAACTTACACACATCTAGCTCCTTTGTTTTGATTACCCCTTCCACAGCTGTCAATATTTCAGCCCTCAAAAAGTCCCCAATGCCAATTGGGCCTGAAAAGAGAGCCTTCACCTGACCTAAATCATTCCTAAACACACCTACATCTGAGAGTCTTGGAAGTCTTGATTGATGATTCAATGTGGTCGTTTTAAATGTATTTTGTGGTTTTGCATTTGACAACTTCAGAAATCATAGGGAGGATCTACTTTTCAATGCTAACAAAATGGGGGAGGGGGGGTGAACCTTTGTATATCAGGGTAACAGTTCTAGCCCATTAACCATTCTCTCTTGTCTTTTGCAGGGCTCTCCCATTTAATGTAATTTGCTACTGGATACTTCCACAAATCCTGAATAAGCAAGATAAATATTCTCAAACCACCATCTTGAATCATAGTAAAAGACACCTATTACAGGATTCCAAAAAAGTGCAACTCTTAGATACAAGAAAGTTGAATGAACCTAAAATTTTAAACAACAAAGGTAGTAGAAGAAAAATTGTTAGAACAAAATGAAAAAGAAAAAAAAAATAAAGAGAACAGCTTCCTCCACCTGCAAAACAGAAATTAGTAGGTTTTGTAATGCTACATAGACACAGAAAAGACAAAGAGCCAAAATAAAGATAAACCCAAAATAAATTATACCTATTACCGATTCATATCCTGTATGCAAATCAAGCACAACAAGCCAAAATATCAAGGCATTTGAACCGTTTTTTACTATAAAAACGGATACTACTGTGAGTGGATTTTTTTTAACTTCTGTGATTGGATTGTGACTCATGAAACATTGATCATTATTCTAAGTTTTGTAGCACAACAGAAACCAGATTTTCTTTGGATTTTCTCCTCCACATATTTATAGTCTTCATTCTCATCACTGGCATTGATGGATATGATGAAGATAGTGAACTTTTGTGAAAAAAAAAAAAATCATATGATCATTTAAATCTACAGTGAAAGTTAACATAAATTATAATGCTTAACAATGCTACATACCTGGTACGTAGGTCTCCTGTGCTAGAACCACCAACCATAGATAGCCACTCTGCACAATGAATTGTAGCTTCAATATCCTGTGAAAAAAAAAGGTGTCCAAATAAAAAAAATGAGATTTATAAACATGGAGGAGAATTTCATATTTAATAATTTCCTACATTGTAGCCAAGTCAGAATATGAGTAAAATAAAGCATACATTTTCTTGGCTCAGACTTAGCCTTAAATAGAATGCCAGAAAATAGCATATACAGTAAACACTCTTAATCAGGAAAAAACAAATATCAGTTTGATAGAGTACTAGGCAATTTATAGAGAAAACTAGGTTTTTCTTCAGGTCAAGTAACTCTAAGTTGTACATAAAGCAACCAAATAATGGAATAATTTTAAAAGGGAAAAGAAAACAGAAGGTATTTAGAGAACCTGTGTGATCATAGGCTGCTGATAAGGGCCTATTTTTTGGGAAAAACACATCACTTTTGGACTTGGCAGCAATACAAAGGTTTTCCTTAGACTAGGCTTGCCAATCAAGTCAAGTAAACCCAACCATTTTGCAGCACAAAGATTCCACAGATAACATTCTAAAGATAAAAGGGTAAGAAGTTATAAAGCGTCCACTATCATAACAATTGTTCCATTATAACTATTAACAGTGATGAGCAATCAACATGCAGAACTGCAGCCCCATGTCTTAAGCTTTGTGAAAGAGTGCAAATACAAACAATGATTATAGCAGCACTCAAGCAACTCAGTTCAACAAAACCTTATTCCAACTACTTGGAGTTGGCTATTACAAACAATCCGAACAAACACATGAAAATCCAATGGACCCTAAAGGGCATGCACATCATCTAGAGTAACAAAATGAGAAAGAAAGATAACACAAAACTGATATAGATTTAAAAAGGCTCACCAACCTTCCAGCCATCCTTCTGTCGCATTGAATGCTCTAACATGATAATTAGGAAATTGTGTACGAGATCTTCTATGTCTCCAATGTTCACCCCAGTTGATAATTTGCTTGAACCCATCTGTAATTAAAAAAAAAAAAAAAGAAAAGAAAGAGTATGAGGGAGATATGAGCCTTGGGTCTTGGGAAAGAGTATCATCTTAAGAATTCAGTGGGTGGGAACCTAGAAGTGCTAATACAATGGCAGCATGGTTTAAATGTCGCGAAATGTCGCTAATGTCGCCCGACATATGTCGATGTCAAGGCTCACCGACATGAAAATGGATGGTAATATAAAAATTACATTATTTCGGTTGACATTTCCTATATTTCGGAAATGTTGACCAAATCGGTCCAAATAACCAAAAAAAGACAGTTTTTCCTATTATGCCGATAGGATGTCGACTAATGTACATTAATAATATAATATATTAATATAATACAGTATATTAATATAAATTATTCCATTAATAATTTCTATTTAATATTTCAAATAAAATATTTATAAAAAATAATTAAGAAAATATAAAAACAAAAGAATAAATTAGTTACTTTATAATATAAAGCATAAAATATTTTTCAAGTAATAAAATATTAACTAGTTAGTATTTATTAAAATCAAAAAATGTTTATTAAATTTTATAATAAATCATATTCTAMATTTAATATAAAAAATCAGAATAAATTTAWTAAWWTTTATACTAAATCATAATTTATTATAAATTTAGTAYTAAAAATCATAATAAATTCATTAAGTTTTATAAGAAATCAGAATTTATCAAAATCTTAATACTANAAAAGGAGAATCAGTTTATTAAATTTATAATAAAACATAATGTATTATAACTTTAATATTTAAAAATCAGAATAAATGCATTTCTATTTACTAGTGTGAAATAAATATATTAGAATTTATAATAAATCAGAATTAAAAACAAGAAAAGAAAATCAGATAACCTTGTAAAAACGTCAAAATGCATAATAAATCAGTAAATCGTTATTTACTAATTTGTTAGTGATCTTAGTTTCTTAGCTTTATGTCTTGGTTGGGAATAAGATAATAGTCTAGAAATATGTATTGATGCTTCTTTTATCATTTTACAAAATATCATTGCATATTTCCACATATTTCATAATATTTCCACAATGTCTCTAATTTTTACAATATTTCCCCTCAACATTTCTGACATTTCCGACATATGTCCTATATTTTGGTAAGCGACATTTCCATCGACATTTTAAACCTTGAATGGCAGACAACTTAGAGAAGAAGAAAGTGAACAAACAAAAGCTCTTTAGGGGTACAAATGGGATGCTCAATGCAAGTCTAGATAGCTAGACGAAGAATTGGTATTGAGATCAAGGCAGCAATGCTGACCTTGATATGGGGTGCTTGGCACTTATTGTAAATATCAATTCTTCATAATCAATAAAATTTCTTTTATCAATCAGGAAAAAAATACTGTACCTCATAATTAGAAATAAGAACCTCCAAAAGCCACTCAGGCCATTCCTCCATTTTAGTAAGACTTATTCTATTTTCTGGGTGACTGCAAGCCAAAAACAGAAGATCCTGAAATCATAAAGAAAAGAATAGTTCAGAAACTAGAGTTTTTAGAAATATTATAACGCTTTTTGGAAAGTGGCAACCAAAAAAATGGAACAATGTACATGGAAAAGAACCATAATGAAACAAGCATCTTTGAGTATCCAAAAACACTTTAAATTTTCAAGTGCCCATCACTCACAGATGCCTAGCACTTTTTTTCTTTTTTTTGAAAAGGTAAGATAAGATTGTATTAAGCAAAAAAAAAAAAAAAGAATACAAGTGTGACTGCTCACTGTATAACAAAATTCTGTACATATGAACGTCTTCCTTTCACCCCCTTCCCAAAAAACAGATAACAGCCAACAAAGAAGAAGAATAAACATCCTGTCCAAATAGCGGATTGACGCATAGCCATCCCCTAAGAGTTTCCACTATCATATTAATCAGCTGCCCTTCTTGAAAGAATTTCTGCTCAAAAATCCTTCTATTTCTTTCACCCCAAATAACCCACAGAACAGCCAGAGGTAAAGCTGACCAAAGTATCTTCCCTTTCTTGCACATTTCCCAACTTTCCAAACTTTTAAGAATAGATTTGAGTGAACTACGCATGCAACTCTGATAGGAATTAGGAGATTACCTTGCAGAAGTGATACCAAATACCAAGAGAGAACTCACAAAGCATAAACAAATGATTGGAAGTTTCCACCTCCTTGTTACATAAAACGCATACAGTCTGGAAGGCTCTTGCCTATACTAGTTAGCATATCCTTAGAGAGGTATTTTTCTTCAGCAGCAATTAGGGCTGTCAATCCATCGGGTCTACCCAATGGATCCGAACAGGCCAAACCGGTTATAATGGTTTTGGTTCCATGATTTTGTCCCTATTAATAATTGGGTTGGTTCTGGTTCTTGCCTGTCCTGAACCGATTCAGACCCGGAACCAATTATTTTATTAAGTATATATTTTTTTTAATTTCTTATAATTTTTATCATATTTTACGTACAAAATGGTAAATTTGATAGAAAATAAATAAGATAATATTAGTTAAAAATGTTTAATTTATTAACATATAAAATAATTTAGCATTTTTCTATCATTTTTATTAAGGTAATATTATCAAATTTTAAATTTTAAGTTATTATTTAAATAAACAACTATAGTTTTCAGAATAATCGCGCCTATCGGGTCCAGATCTGACTATTAACCGGGACGGTTCTGGATCTATGATTTTGTCCCGATTAATAATCAGTTTGGGATTGGTTCTACCTGGACCCAACCCATTGACAGCCCTAGCAGTAACCAAGAAAAAAATTTCACTTTGGAAGGAGCAATCCCCCTCCACATTATTTCACTTGGGAAGGAGCTGTCTAGCACTTAATAAATTGACCAGCATAACCTCCACTTTTGGAACTTTGAGGCTTTTCTAAGCAGAGCCATCATCATTGAACAAGGAAAAATAGCATTCAATCAAAACGATATCCCAAAAAGTTCATACTTTTCCAATAAACAATACCCAAACCCAGATCTTCCCTTCCCAACTTGTGAAAATACAACTTCATCTAATATATGATCATGTAGAAAGTCAAGAATACATATGCTAGCCTTTCCCTGCTCCTTTATTTTCCAATCCTTCATTTTATTAAGTCATGAACTCCTAAAATTAACATAATAACTCATTGAGAATAAATTAAATGAATATTTCAGAAATATTGTCTGCCTTCACAAGCAACCCAATATAAATTGAACTGTTTAAGTGGATTATTTTCTGAAGAAAGTAATTACAATTTCATTAACCAAAAAGAAGAGTACATGAAAGGATGTATACAAAATCACAGATGCCTTCCTCAAAGCCAAAAAAACAATTATACAAGGCATAGAGCTACAACTTTTTTTTATCAATAACTGGTAAAGTGATTAAGAAATAAAACAAAATACAATAAGGTACATAGGGAGAGGTAAACACTCTTAACTCCCCCTTAGACAGAAATCAATTACAACAAAGCCCAAAATAAATTTCCCCTTCCCACCCCTTTTCACACAGCCTGGCTAACTCAACATCAACTGAATTCAGCTCTCTAGAGATCACCTCAATGTAGTAATGGGCACATGACAGATGGGAGGGAAACTTCGATAGACAATAAGATTTGTCTATCTTCTTCTTCAACAAGCTCCTCTCGGTTTTTCATCTCAAGTGGTGGTATACAATCAAACAGTTCCCTACAATGGGTTCCAGCTAAAAAACTGAACCGACTCTCGTCTGATAGGAGAAACCCTAGATTGGTAAAGCGCAGTGAACTTGAGAATCAAGACGATGAAAAGTGGTCCAATAAAGAGATCAGTGATGATTCAGATATGGACGACACCTTGAGTTTGAGAAGTTTTGGCCCGCAACAAAAGGTGAATATGATGGACAAAGAAAGCTTCAACACAGAAATTTTATTTCTAGAAGATGATGGAAAAGTCATTGATGGTGAGAAAAGGGAGGAACATAGGTCTGAAGCAACATGTTATGATGCTGAGCAGACTACACCCTCCTTCACCGAGGGGTTGATCCTACCTCTCAGTTTCGTCAGGCGATTAGTACAGGGGAACAGGATTCCTTTAGAATAGATGAAGAAAGGCCAGAAAGAAAGATACAAAGGCAGGCTTCTCACGTAGTTAGATTAGAAGAAGGTGTTGCCTTGTCCATACCCATTTCGCAGCAAAATCCTGATAGGGGAAAGGTCATGGACTCCGTTGTTGACTCTCAATCTCAAAATCCTATCTATCCTTACCTGGCTACAGTACCTCAACGTATGGGTGTCCTTTTGTTTTCTGATACTAATCAGTGTGTTAATTCTGTTACAGACACTCCAGCATACCACCCAAAAGAGGGAAGTGAAGGAATAGAGGAAGGAAACAAATCTAGTGGCAATACAGGAAAGGATAAGGGAGGCTCAGAGCTATGTAAAGGATTGGGAGAGGAAGCAGAAAGAATTTGGAGCTTGATTTGGTCAGGATTTGAGGAACTTGGGCAGAAGGAAGGTTATGTGGAAGAGAACTTCCAGAGGGAAAGGTTAGGTAGGGAGGAGGGTGAGGCTAAAGAGGAAGATGGCAAGAGGGCTGAAAGGACCTTGGGGCTTGGGAAGGCAGAAATCAAAAGGTATGATCGAAAGAATGAGAAACAGAAGGAAAAAAAGAAGAAAAATAAGGAAAGGACTGAAGTGGAGAGACTAAAATCTGATATTGAGGGGGATCTAGAGTTTAGCGGAAGGGGAGAAAGGAGGAAGAAATCTAGATAAGGTGAGTGATTTGAGGAGGGTTTCTACATAAAATACTCCTATGAAAATTATAAGTTGGAATGTGAGAGGATTGGGGAGTGTAAGGAAGAGGAGGGTGATTAAGGATCTACTTAAGAGAGAAAATCCTGACATTGTAATGTTACAAGAGACAAAATTGTCTGAAATGGATAGAAGAATGATCAGGAGTTGTTGGAACTTGGAAATCTAGGGGAGTAAACTGGACATCAGCATCATCATGGGGAGCTTCAGGGGGAATTGTTACAATTTGGAAGGATGAAAGTGTGGAACCAGTAGAGGAACTGATAGGAAGGTACTCGGTCTCTATCAAATTTAAGAATGTGGAGGATGGGTTCTTCTGGGTGTTAATTAATGTGTATGGCCCTAATAGTTACAGAGAAAGAAATGAGTAGTAGGAGGAATTGTATGCAATTCAAGGATTATGGGATGGCCCATGGTGTGTGGAAGGGGATTTTAATGTCATAAGGTTCTCTGAGGAAACTAGTAACACTGTACAGTCAATTACAACAAGTATGAGGAAATTTAATGATTTTATAGAAGACTGAGTTGAAAGAAATCCCACTATTGCAAGCCAGGTTCACATGGTCTAATCTCCAAGAAAACCTTCTGTGCTCTACCCAGGTCCTTCTGGGTTGGGAGGGATTTTCAGGAATAAGGACAGAAACATGGTGTTGCTGTTCTCAGGTCCTTTAGGAGTTGGGGGTTCCACTACGGCGGAGCTGTTGGCAGCAATTCAAGGTGTACAGTTTGCAAATCAGCTAGGAGTGGCACAATTGTTAATCGAGGGTGACTCCAAGGTGGTAGTGGCCAGTGGGCTGGCTACAGAATCCAGAATCTGTAGTGTGGTGTTATAAATACGAAATTAAGAGGTTTAAATGGCTAACAAGGGACTTGGCTGTAAGAACAAAATTGGTTGGGAGAACAGCTAATGCTATGGCAGATTATTTAGCCAAGAGAGGGGCAGCAAGGGATCATTTATACTGGGCACAATTGTAGGTTTTTTTTTTTTTTTTGTTCTTGCTAAGGAGAGTATGCAGCTTGCGCCTCTCCAAGAAAAATTTGTATCAGAAAATTTATTTATCAAAAAAAAAGTCCTTTGAGATGATAAATGGAAGCCAAATAGTACCATAAATTTGTGTGCCTCTGTCTTTAATGCCCTCCTCCTTTCTTCTAGTCAGGCAGTGTCCTTTCCAGCTAAAAAGGTTTGTTGTAGCCTAGTACCACCTAGAGCTGGGGCTTTCTGCTGGGAAGCGGTTCTCAATAAGATCAAAGTAGTCGCTCAAGATTGAACAGACAAAAGGAGAAGAAAAAAAAAATAAAAAAGAAGAGGGAGAAAAGAGAGAGAGAGAGAGAGAGAGAGAGAGAAATTTTGATAAAAGAGAGTTGGGTTGATGTGTTTAAACAGCCACCCCCCTCTTAAATTTGTATACATAGTATCATACTTTTAAAAGGACTGAATTGCTTACATGGCAAGATAAGATAAGATAAGATAAAGCTGAAAAAAGACTAATCCTAATCTTATAAAAGACTAGTCCTAATCTTATCATAAAGAACTAATCCTAATCATAACTTATTGCTGACATACAAACATTGGGGACCACCTTAGTGGGGTCCACATTAGTGTTGTCATTCCCAACTTGCATAGATCTGCTTCTAACTTCTTCCTTGAAACCGCCTTGGTGAGAAGGTTTGCCAGCTGCATGTCGGAGGTGATGTATGGAAGA